GGCAGATGCTTACCTGACTGAGCCACCCAGGCGCCCTGAAGCATCTCTGTGATGTTTAATAAAAGTGATACTGAACCACCCAGTAGAAATTCTGTTCTTGGTTTACTGTCTGCAGGAGCAGGAAGATGGACTAGATCCTCCACTTTGGGAAAACACTTTAATAGACGGCCTTGGATGAGGTCATACCAGAGCTCAGCCACATCTGGAGCAGCTGCCAAGCCAGGGCCCAAAGCCTGGTGTATCCAGCCTTTCGGCTGGAGCCACTATATCCTAACTGCACTCAGAATTGCCGAGAGAGCTGCTCTGGGCAGAATATTCCATGTTTTTTCATCTCCTTTGTTACCGCCCTTGTTCAATCCACCACCTTCTCTCTCCTGGATGCCACATTAGCTTCCTAATTGGTCTCCTTGCTCCATTCTCAACTCCCCACAACACATCCTCTAGACAGCAGCCAGAACGAGCTTTACACATTGCTGTGCAACAGTCACCACCACCATCTGTCTCCAAACGTTTTCATCTTCCCCTAGGGAAGCTCTATTCCCATTAAATACTAACTCCCCACCCCCAGGCTGGTAACCATCATTCTACTTTCTGTCTCTATGAACCTGACTACTCTAGGTGCCACATATAAATAGAATCATGCACTATTTGTTCTTTTGTGATGGTTTATTTCACTCAGCACAATATCTTCACAGTTCGTCCCTATTGGAGCATGTGTCAGAATTCCCCTCCCCTTTTTTTTCTGAAGATTTTATTTATTTATTTGAGAGAGAGAGCATGAGCAGAGGAGGGGCAGAAGAAGAAGAGACTCCCCGATGAGCAGGGAGCCCAACATGGGGCTCTATCCCAGGACCCTGAGATCATGACCCGAGCCAAAGGCAGACACCCACCCAACCAACTGAGCCACGCAGGTGCCCCAGAATTCTCTTACTTTTTAAGGATGAATAATGTTTCCTTGCATGTCTATACCACGTTTTGTTCATTCCTTCATCTGTGGATAAATACTGGGGCTGCTCCCACCTTTTGGCTACTGTGATAATGCTGCCATGAGCATGGATGTATAAATATCTGCTCAAGTCCCTGCTTTCACTTCTTTGGGGTATAGACCCAGAAGTGGCAATGCTGGATAATATGGTAATTCTGTGTTTCTTTTTTTTGTTGGATTACAGTTGACATACAATGTTATATTAGTTTCAGGTGTACAACATAGTGGCTGGACAACTCTATAAATCATGCTAGGTGGCTATCATCTGCCACCACACAACACTATTACAATACCTTTGACTACATTCCCTGTGCTGCACCCTTCATCCCCATGACTTAACATTCCATAACCGAAAACCTGTATCTCCCACTCCCCTTAACCCATTTTGCCGCCCCCCCCTTCCCTCTCCTCTGGCAAACATCAGTTTGCTTTCTGTATGTGCAGGTCTGATTCTGCTTTTTTAATGTTTAATTTCTTGAGAAATACTTTCCACAGCATGCTGTATTATTTTACATTCCCACCACCAATACACAACGGGTCCAATTTCTCTATATCTTGCTAACACTTGTTATTTTCTATTTCTTTATAATAGTCATCCTAATGGATATGAAGCAGTATCTATTTTATTTTTATAATACATTTATCACTACTTCATATTTTCTTTTTTGTTTATTTAAACATTAATCGCCTATATCCCCAAACTAAAACACTAGCAGCATGACGGTAAGGAGTTTGGCTGCCTTGTTTGCTACCATAACCCAAATAGCACCCAGCACTCAAAGCACATTTGTTGAATGAGTGAGAGACCTCAGGGTCACCAGCTTTAGAACTACCACAGTTCTCCTCTTTTTATGTTCCCTAGGATATATGGGAGCTGGGGAGTTCCCTTCTGCTACTCTGACAAGCCAGAGGACTGTGAAGAAGAATTAAGAAGATTTTAACAAATGAGTTAGTGCTATTCTCTGTGAAATACAAAGAAATAAAAATGTTGTCAAACTAAGACCTTGAGAGCACCCATGGCCTTTGTGCACAACAGAGGCAGTAATTATAACCAGGAGAACATGCTGGGCTTCTCTGGAAGTTCTTGGTGGCAACTCATGCAAACATAGAAGACCCAGCCCCTTGGAATAGCATAAACTCAACTGACTAAGAGTGAAAACTATTAAGCTTTTGACTAGAAAAGCAAATTGTGTAGTCCTTTCTTCTATATTACCTATACTTTCTTTAAAAAAATTTTTTTTTCTTTTCCAAAAAGGCTGATATTTGTTACTCAACTTCATGAACATCACTTCAGGCAGCCTGAGAAAACCACAAATAAATATGCCACAGAGACTGCTTGTCGTCTGCCTGTTTTCCCTTCTTTCCACAGCTGATAGAAAACTTTTACTCAAAAGAAGGCTTTTTAATTTTAGCAGAGCACATGGACACCTGAAATGAAGCATTCCTTTCTCAGCTTTCTTGCAGAGAGAAGTGGCGGTGTAACTAAGAACCAGCCAATGAAATGTAAGCAGCGAGTTGCATGTAATTATGCACAATGTCCTTAAAGGGAAGACACATGCTCTTCTTTGCCTCCTTTTTGTTGGCTGAAATGTAAACATGATGGCTGGAACTCGAGCACACATCTGAGTATGGCAAAGCAGGGGGAGACAAAGATACAGAGTGCCTACTGGCTTGAAGCTGTCCCCCCAATCTTGGATTGCTTACCTGTAGATTCCCTTATGTGAGAGAGAACCAAAGTTCTGTCAGAGCCATTGTTGTTCTAGGCCACTGTTATTGGAAGCTGACCTAGTTCTGACTCACACGGAATCTTTTCAGTAAGATTACAGGAGAACCCAACACAGAAATAATTCTTCCTAGATATAGATGACAAAGTAGATTGTTTGGCAAGATTTGAGCTATTCTGAGCTGATGCCAAGCACAGCTTAGCCAGTGAGGTAAGGGGGTAACAGTGATCTGCCAAATCGACCAAGGGTCAGAAGGAATGGGAAGTCAATACCAACAATAATGAGGATAATGAAAATGATAATGGTGATGGCTAACATTTATTAAGTACTTTATTACAACCGCAACACTGAGCCAAGGGGCTTTACATGTACTAACCCATTTTATCTTCACAACAATTCCGAGGTTTAAAAAAGAGGAGTCCTGGTCATACAATTTATGAGTGACAGAATGAGAATTTGAATCCAGAGAAGTCTGACTGTTGAGCCCATATGCCTTACCTTTACACTGCATCCAAATAGAACATCCACTATACTTTCCTTTCCCCCACATAAGAATATGGTAGTCAGTCAGTCCTCTCCAGAAGCCTACCACTTCTTTACCAAGGAAAGCCCCCTGGATACCCTTCACCCATCAAAGTTTGATGCCACACCAACAATGCCCATAATACCCTAAATATATAGCCAACCATGAATTTCTACTTGTTAGGTACACGATGCCACTCAGTTATTAATATCCTTGGACCATTTGTAACTTAAACCCATTAAATTGCAACTGAAACACAACTATAATATGAAAACCAAGTTACATGTTTATTTTGAAGCCTTATTTCACATTTATGCTAATATCAATATTTCAAAGCTGTTTTTTATGACATATTCTCTCCTAGCCCCATGTGTTGCAATAACACAATGAAATCTGCATCAGTTCATCAGATAGTCAATATTTTATAGGAAAGTATCAGTGTAGACAGAAGCCACACCTTCTATTAAGGAGGGGGACCCCAAATATTTGCCTGTTGGTAAGAATGCCTCACTGCAAAACAGGTTTCATTCATACATAAAGTTGGACTTACCAAATGTCTGATCAAGTCAATTTACATAACTGTTCTAGGCCTCAGCTTCCCCATCTAAGAGTCACTTAGGGGATATAAGAGTCACTTTCTCAGAGTGATTTCAAAGATTCAATGAGGTTATGCTTATTAGCTACTTGGTACAGTGTCTAGTACACATTAAGTGCCCAGAGGTAGCTACTTTTAAAAATTATAATCAGTGGGTAGCACAATCTGATGGACTAAAGCTCTCAGTGAACCAATGTGTTCAATTACCAAATAACTTCCCAGCAATGAAAAAATGAAGACTCACTATCACACTGACTGGCAAGATGACTCATTCTAGCTGATTCTAAATCCAGACTTCTTTTTTAAGATGGCTGTATGGAAATCCGACTTTTTTTTTTTTTAATATTTTATTTATTTGACAGAGAAAGATCACAAGTAGGCAGAGAGGCAGGCAGAGAGAGAGACAGAGGGAAGCAGGTTCCCCGCCGGGCAGAGAGCCCGATGCGGGGCTCGATCCCAGAACCCTGAGATTATAACCTGAGCCGAAGGCAGGTTAAAGCCGAGGCTTTAACCCACTGAGCCACCCAGGCGCCCCGGAAATCCGACTTTTTGACTCAGCATAATCTATGTCATTGCTCACTGCATGGGCATTTTATTAGCCTTTGTTTGCTGTTTATACTTTCCCACCCTACCCCACAATTATTATTATTCTCTATTCTTAAACTGACTTTAGTGGTGGTTTTAAGTCAGGGACATTAAGTGGGATTTTCTTTTTTCCTTTTTCTTTTTTTTCTTTTCCCTTTCACCCATAGTGGGTATAAAGTAATGAGGGATGAGCATTACCTTTGTTCTTCTATTCCCCACTGGGAGACATTTATGTAATGCACAGGTAACAAATGGATTCTAAAAGTCATTACCACAGGACTTTGAAAACAGCCTTAATTTTGAATCCATGAAACTCAGCTGGATCAGGATGGGTTTTCAGGAACACATCTGCTTTAAGAATTTATTCCTTCAACTGTTATCTTGTGCCCTTTCTAATCACTAATGCAGGACACCACTAGTTCTATTAATAAAAATCTCCCAAATAGTTGACGTAAATCCAAAATTTTACTATTTCAGGCATTTGCCCCCTACCCAAATCCTCACACCAGAGGAAAAATGCAGCAGCCTTCCACTGTTTCCAATACCCACTTTCAGGAGAATACCCTTAAAAAAAAAAAAAATGCTTACTGTGATTTTCCAAGTACATTTGCTATTTGGAGGGTACACTCCAGGGAAACCTTCACTGCCAATAAATCCAGACTCTCCAGTAAGAATGCCGCCACATGTGAAAACAGGTCTGGGAAAATAAAAGAAGGAAACTTAATTTGAAACTGGATTTAACAATCTAATGTCAACTTCAGAAAGGTTGTAGCTTCTAAATATGGATAAAGTTAATATTGATTAATAAATGTTTGCACCGTATAAGGGATTTGAAATATAAAGGATTTGAAACTTGCTAGTTGAGAATTTTTAAATTACAGTCTAATAAAACATTCTGTCCAGTTGCCATCTCCATCCTCATAACACAACATCTGTTTATCCATCTATCCATAAGCAATCAAATGCTCCACGTAGGGGTAAAAGTTGATGGGGAAATAGTCAATGGACAATTTAACTGGGGAGTGGAGGTGAGTGAAAGAAGGTGAGAGCTAGGCGAGGTACATGGTCTTAAAGACAGACAAGCAATAGATTTAAAAAGTTTTAATTTCCTAGATGTGGAGAGATGCCTACTTCTCCTCCCCTTTTCTGAAAACCATTAACCATTGGCAGAGCCTCGCATTTAAAAGGGAGGCTGCTGGTGATGGAGGTGGAAGAGGAGATGCCAAAGGCGGCCACGGGATGGGTCCCCCAGCCCAGGTCCTGGGCGGTCTGGCAGCGCTGACGCGGGCTGACGAAGAGTTAACTTTCCGGGAGCGGCTCCCCGCGCGCCGCGCAACTCGGGTTTTCCCTGAGGCTTTCCGTCTCTGGGCCGAGCCTCCCGGGAGAGTAAAGCAGAAGTGAAAAAGCAAAGACCGCAGCCTCGGGCCCTCGTGCCTCCCTCCGCCCGCAGACGCACTCGGGGAGAGGAGGCGCCGGTCCCCTTCAGCCCCCGCCACGTGGTGGTGCGGCCAGCGGCGGGGAGGTCGGACTGGCCGAGCCGGGGGCGCGCGGCCGAGCGGGGGACCGTCCGCGCCGGGGCAGCGGACGCCGGAGCCCGGGTGAGCGCGGGGTCGCTCGCCGGATCCCCGGGCGCCCCTACGCGGCTGCGGTAAAACCACGGGGCAAGGCTGCAGGACAGCGGGACAGAGGCGGGGAGAGAGGGAGCCCGGGCGGGGGTCGCGTTACCTCTCCGGGGGCTGCTGCCGGGAGAGCTGCGCGGCCACGGCCAGCAGCAGGCAGAGCGCGGCCCAGGCGCCCGCGCCCCTCATGGCGGGTGTAGACGCGCTTGGCTCGCTCCCACCCCGGCGCGCACGCGGGTCCGCACACCGGGTCGCACCCCGCAAGGCTCACACTCTGGCACACACGGGGAGAAACACAGGCTCGCGCGCCGCACACGCCCGGCTCGCTTCCCCGCCCTCTCTCTGTCTCTCTCTCTCACACACACACACACACACACACACACACGAGCACACACACGTGCGCACGCAGCCGCGGGGCAGCCCAGGTATCCGGGTGTGCGCGGCAGGCGGGTGGGGCGCTTTTAAAGGCAATCACGGTGCACGCTGCCTAGACGCTGAATTTCCCCAGAGGAGTTGCTCTGGCAGCCACAGGCCGCTGCTGAATATCGCGTTTGTTCTCCGGCGGCGGGAGGGGGCGGCTCTGAGGCCGGAGCCGCCTCCTCTCCTGGGGCGGGCGGGCGTCTCCTCGCTGGCCCCCCGGGACCCGCAGCGCCTGTCACATCCCGCCCGCAGGGCCTGTGGGGAGAAAAGGAGGGGGAAAACCTGCCGAGTGGTACCCAAGCGGGACCCGACTTCGGGATGCACAGACGATTCACAGAGAGGGGGTCATGGCTTGCTTTGGAGAGTGGTTTAACTTAATTGATTAAAAAAAAAAAAAAAAAAAGTGTTAGCGCTTGCTGGTTGCTGGAAAACTGGGGTTCCCTCTTTATTTCTGTCGCCTTCAAACACACAGATCTAAGGCAAGAAAAGGGGGAACTAGAGGGGCGTTCTATCAAATTTTAACTCCTGCTCTTATCTTTTTACTTTAAACTCTCCCTCAGTAGATTCTTCTCTGTTTTTACTGATGTGTGAGAATAGGGAAACTGTTTTCTGTGCAGGGATTTAAAACTGTATTTTCAGCCAAGCGATTTGTGAGTGAATTGCCATTAACGATGTCAACTGTGTCAGATAATGAAGATGGAACCCAGATCAGGAGATCTCACCATGTTCTGTTCTGAAAATGGTGTTTAATTGCCGGCATCTCTCTGTTCTTAAAGAACCTTTTCCAACGATTTCTTTCTGTAACATTAATGAGTTAAGATTCACAGAGAATTTGTTTTTCTAAGAAGAACAATTCCAGCCTTGTGGAATCAAGACTTTATTTAATTAAAGAAAAAGAATTTTAAAACACCTTATTTTGTTAAGTGCTTTCCAATAGCTAGGAATTAATAAAAGAAAAACAAGAACAGAATGGATTCATTGAGATACTCAACAACCACATCACCACAAGAGGGATATAGCTGAATCTAGATGCCCCATATATGCTGTTCCCTCTAAATTATTTTCGCCTTTCTAACCAAACAACAAAAACCAAAAACCACCACTGAAATAGTTCTTGCCAAGATTTCATTTCTAATAATGAACTTACAGTGTTAAGAATGTAAACACTCCTAGCAAGAAAATAAGTAAAAACTAGCTACAGGGAATAATTTGTCTTTTAATAGTGGGGAAACCCAGGAAACAATAGTAGAAACCAGAATTTCCCTATGGGGTTTAGATTATCTTACTATTTTTGAAAAAATGAAGGAAAAAAAAAAAGACCAAGAACTACAACTTGTAAAAAGTTCTCTAAAGGCACCACACCCTGTTTATGACATTAAAAAAGAAAGAAAGAAAGGATTACAGAATTTGGCAAACTACATTATATCCTAAAACCTACACCATCAACCCAATAAAAATTGCTTTAAAACACCAAAAAGGAAAATAAATGATTGTTTATTTTGCACACATTTCAAGAATATGCTATTCAACAGCATAAGTGTCTTAGATGATATTTTGTGAAAAAGTCAAAGTTTTAAATTATAAAGTGAAAATATTGCTCAATTCACTTTCTGGTAATGATCTGAAGTCATCATAGCCAGAAAATACTTCATTCCCAGGACTAAGCTAAGTTTTTAAACTTTAAAATTCAAAAACAAAGTATTAAACCTGTCCCAATACATAGAAAACTATTTGAACATAAGTATGCAACAGTATTTTCTTTTCTTAATTTATAGAATGATGACTGTGTTCCTATCCTCACTAAAGAGTCAGGCTTGCAACATTGATGGTTCTGTTGTTGTTGAGACCCACAGGAAGACATTGATGTTACCATATGATTTTAAGAGTATTTGCTCTTAGAAAAACGTATTTGTCTTGGAACTACAGCTCCAAGATGAAAATTATAACCCTTAAATGTCCTGAGAAGCTTAACGTGTTAAAATTGAGACAGACCCAAGTGGACTTTGAACGTGTGTGTAGGGTCCATTTCTGTGAGACTGATTTCTGGATTTTAGTGATGCAGAACTGGCATAATGGGCAGGGAGCCAAAGAACTCCAGGCCTAGTCAGGGACAGGGGTAGAGAGGATGAAAGCCCAGTGGTAGATTCTAGAAAGAAAAGCAGAGTGTTAAGTGAAGTGATCCTTATTTTCCAAGGTATATATTACCCAATCTCTGCAGTTAAGTAGGTTGCACAGAGAATCTAAGTCATGGAAATATGGAAATATTTGCCAATGAACCGACCACTTATAAAATTAGTCCCCAAACATTTCTTGCTGCACATTAGCATCTAGCTAGGCCCAATATGTCAACATCTTTGTTGGTTAGTCTCTGGTCAATTCATCAGCTTTGTAAACATCTGAAAATGCAATGTAAATAACAGTGCACTTTCAATCCATAGTGCTGTATTGATCTTGTAAAGGATCCAGAATTTATAAAATGGTTGCAAGTGAGGTTGAAAGAAGTGGGGGGATGATGGGCTTCTTTTGATGAATGAAGACTTGGATGAGTTACTCTGATGAACTGATGGAAAAAGCTAAAGAAGGTTGCTGACCAAAGTCCTTTAAAAAAAGAATGATTTTTAATGCCAAAATATTAAAAAGGAGTCCATGAGGGGCACCTGGGTGGCTCAGTGCGTTAAGCCTCTGCCTTTGGCTCAGGTCACGATCTCAGGGTCCTGGGATTGAGCCCCCCCATCGGGCTCTCTGCTCAGCAGGGAGCCTGATTCCTCCCCTCTCTCTCTGCCTACTTGTGATCTCTCTCTGTCAAATAAATAAGTAAAGTCTTCAAAAAAAAAAAAAAAGGTGTCCATGAGAAAAATGAAGAAACCCTATAATAATTTTTCAAAATTAATTTTCTACAATATAGTGCTGTGAAAGTCAAGAGTAAATGAAAGGATGTTTGTATTTTGCTAGAATGCATTTTTGCAGGGAAAATTACGGTAAAAAAAATCCACATTTGACTCAGTTTGTTCATTATGAAAATTGGCACATAGTTGCAAATATAAATGAAATTTTATTAAATACAAAATAAATTTTTGAATTTCCATTTCCATTTTGAAGATAAAATCCTGAACACTTTTTCAATATCTTTGAAAATGTGGAGCCTGTGTTAAGTACATTTTAAGTGCCCTTTTCCAGTACAGTTAATCTCAGATATGGATGATCTCCAATTAACTTGAAAGGTAGTTGAGCAACAATCCAGGGCAGTGCATCAGATTGAGGGGGAGAAGGTAGGATAGGAGATAATGAGGGGCTGGACTCTATCCCTGGGTCACTCCCATTGTTCTTTGAGGCAGGACCGTTATCTGAAACTTGGGTGTGGTCTGTGCTTCCTTGAAAGTGACACTACTCCAACTGTACCACATGGAGCTCTAGATTTATAAATGCTACAAATGTATAAAAGGAATGAAAAACATCTGGAAAACAATTAGTGTGGAAATTCTTTGATGTCCCCTATGTGACAAGATGGTGTTTGTGATATTTCCCTAACATCTGTAGTTCTATAAAACCATCAAACTGGAATTTCTTATACTTTAAAAAAATTTTTTTAGGATTGTATTTATTAACTTATTTATAAATAAAGAGAGAGAGAGTGTGTGAGAGAGTATGAGCAGGGGGAGAAGCAGAGGGAGAGGGAGAAGCAGAGGGAGAGGGAAAAGCAGGCTCGCCGCTGAGCAAGGAGCTTGATGACCTGAGCGGAACAGACACTTAATGGACTGGACCACCCAGGTGCCCCTTCCCTGCTTTCTTTAACTAGGAAAATACAGTAGTGTAGCATTATGATATTAATACTTTAGTGATAGAAGTGCCTCTTCTGAATTCAGCTTTTGGATGCTGTCAACATTTAAGAACTCCCCAGAATCTTTGAATTCTTGTGTACAGACTCATTAGGAAATATTCTCATGAACAAGGCTTTTTAGAATTAAATGTTATTTCAATTTTTTTTTTGATGTTTGTAAACATGCATTAGGAAGTACACCTCCCCCGCTTCCAAGAATGAAATATTGGAAGGGAATTGTGTTGGTTACTCTTTTTAGCCAGAAACAACTGAGTCTGTTCTGGCTAGTACAGGCCATAAAAGGGATCCATTTTAAAATGGAAGGTAGTTCATAGAAGCAATAAGAGCACTGAAGAAACTATGTCAAGGCTAATGGCCAACGCCTGGCTTCCGAAACGGCCCAGTGAGAAATCGGTTGCCATTGCTGCTACCAAGACTAAGCAATAATGGAAGTATTCCAGCTCACTGTAATTGTGACGGCTATGAGCACATCAGATGCATTTCTGCCCTGGGAAACTAAACCTTGTAATACCTCTACCTCAAAGGCCAGATAGCTCTGCTGCCACTGGAAGGAAAGCTTAGTACAGACCCTCTTTCCTCATGTTAATCTCTTAAATCCAAAATCACATGGAATCCTATATGATTGGTAATGTCTATGTCACACGAGTGTATTTCAGCTGCAAGAGAGGCTAAGAATTCAACTGTTCGTGGGAGAAAGGGCCATATACTGTAGAGATTTCCCCTAATATTCAAAGACTACTCAAAACAGAATGGGCAGGCACAAATATGATTAATGCCCATGACAGGGTCCATAAAATTCAATTAGCCTCTCCTTGTATGCCCTTGCTGAGGGAAACAGCCCCAAGGGGGTCTTTATCTGTAAGTGTGCTAAGACAATGTAATGGATGCTGAATGAAATCAGCTCCACTCACCTGCCCGAGTTGGACAAAGGAGCTGGTTTGGAATGAAACTTTATCCAATGGAACCATTTCATAATGAATCATCATCACCATCATCCCTAAATTTTACTGAGTACTTATTATATACCAGAAACAGTGGTAAGTACTTTCTAATAAGGTTTCATTTAATTTACTCAATAACCCTACGAAGTGAGAATAATTATCACCATTTCACAGGTGAAGATTCTGAGGTATATAGAGGTTAACCACTAATCCAAAACCTGCCTTGTGTAAATGAAATACCAGGATTTGAACCTAGTCTGCCTAGAAAGCTCATGCATTCAAAAATACTGCAGCATGCCAGTTCCTCATCAGAGCCTCTCTCGGGACCCATGAATACTCCATGTACA